CTTTCTTTCTTTCTTTCTTTCTTTCTTTCTTTCTTTCTTTCTTTCTTTCTTTCTTTCTTTCTTTCTTTCTTTCTTTCTTTCCTTTCTTTCCTCATTCAAAGGTATTCACTGAGCACCTGCCATGCACCATACACTCTTCTGGACACAAGTGATACAACAGTGACTAAAACACAGCCCCTTTCCTCATAGAGTCTACTTTCTAGTGAGGCAAAGGAGAGACGTAAAATAATTAAACACACGCTATGCGCTCAGGCAATAATAAGTGCTGTGAAGGAAAAGAAAGCCACTGGGGCCATGGAGATTGATGGGGTTGAGAGGCTGCTGCTTTAGATAAGAGGGACAGGGAAGGTGAAACAAGGGAACAATCCCTGTAGCTATCTAGGAGGAAAGAATGAAGGGGGTGGCTGAGAGGATTAGGGACAAGGCTTCATGTGGTCATAGAGAAATGCAGGGAAGGATTCTTTAGAGATCTGGCTGTCCTTACTGTCCTTGGGTTCTGTGAGATACCCTGCTATACATCTAATGAATTACCCCTTTTTGCTTAAGCCAGTTTGAGTGCCTTTCATTTTCTTATAGTTAACAGATTTCAAAATCATCTACAAATCCACAAGGTGAGTCTAAAGCAGTTACAAGCTACCTAGAATTTCTGTCAAGGCTCCCTAGGCAGAGCACGTGGCTCTTTATCTCCCCCTGGTGCCAATATTGTGAAGGTGCAGGAGCCTTAACAAAGGAGTGAAAACCAGTCTGTGAGCACAATGGATGACAAGAGATAATAAATGTAACTGTTTCTTATCCCCAGTTTTAGCAAATTTTAAAAATGGAAGAAATTATATTCTTGAAAACATTAAAAGCGTATTTATTCATGTCAAGATTATCCCATTTCATCTGTAGGATTCCGGGAAATTTGGAGATATTAGTTGTGATTTCTTTGAACTGAGGGCAAGAGCTGGTCCCATCTTGGAGTCACAGGTCACACAGATCACTCTCGATGGCTCTGAATGATTCTGCGTGTGAACCTGGGGCACAGTTTATTCCTGGCCTTTTGCTTTCACTCTAGCTAGAGAACCAACCAGTAAGCTGGGATCTCTCTAGAACTGTGTGGATCCCCAAGATGCACATGTAATCAAATGTCAAAAAGGAACATAGGGGCTTCCCTGGTGGCGCAGTGGTTGAGAGTCCGCCTGCCAATGCAGGGGACGCGGGTTCGTGCCCTGGTCCGGGAAGATCCCACATGCCACGGAGCGGCTGGGCCCGTGAGCCATGGCCGCTGAGCCTGCGCGTCCAGAGCCTGTGCTCCGCAGCGGGAGAGGCCACAACAGTGAGAGGCCCGTGTAACGCAAAAAAAAAAAAAAAGGAATATAAGTAACACTGTAGCTTGAGGCTCTGACTGCTCTTGGACTTGTGTTTAAGGAAATAGTATTTGCTGAGTACTCTGATGCCAGACACTGAACGTATAGTATCTTCTTCTATCCCTAAGGAATTAACCCTGTTGTAAAGATGGGGAAACAACTGCAGAGAGTAAGCACCTTGCTGGATCAGTCAGATTCTGGGTTGCAAACTCCAGAAGATTGCTCTGGCTGGTAAAGCAGAAACAGGATACTAAAAGGATTTGGGGAAGCTCACAGAGAACCAGGGCCAAGCTTCCAGAGGTATGCCTACAGTTGCACTGCAGAACTGGTCTGATGAGCAGACCACGGCCACTCTTCCAGAGGACTAGATGCCAGGACACGCACCACTGCCATTTTTGTGCAGGTACTCGGCTAGACTGCTTCTGCTATTTTTGCAAGCCCCATTCCTCTTTTGTGCCAGAAATTCAGCTTTTCAGCTGTCATGACTCCCACTGCCCTCTGTCCCTTCTTTCTTGTCTCGTCAGCTTCCATGTAAAAATTTGGCCAAGTGGTCTGACCAGGAGAGCATAAATGTGGGCTGCAGCTGCAAGGGAGGCTAGGAAAGGAAGTGCTGGTGTTTTTCAACTCCTCTGAAAGGCTGCTTCCACTCCTTATCAGGGAGGGAATTCCCCCCCAATGGAAAGGGGTTCAGATGGGGGCAGCCAAACACAGTCACATGCCCTCCAGAGTTGCCAATATGACATGACCAGTGAGGGCTGGGGTTGGCGTCTCTTTCCAGAGCCCACTACTTCACAGTCCTTCTTTCTGTCCATCAAATGGAAGGAGGTGCTTGCTTTAAAAAAATTCATCAAACAAATATAGTGTTGAGTATTTTCGTCATGTCACAAAGTGGTGGAGGAGGGGCGCCAAGGTCAAAAGACACAGTCCTTGCCCTCAAGGTGATAGCTTATCGAGCCATCATCACATGATCATGGGTGGCAGTGATGGATGACTAGTATATTGATTACCTTCTGTACCAGGCGCTTTGTATCTGTTGTTTCTAAATCCTGACAACAACCCTGCAAGGAGATATTCGTAATGTCACTTTTTTCCAGATGGTAACACTGGTGCTCAGAAAGGCTATATAACGTGCCCACATGACACAATTAAGAAGCAGCAGATCCCAGACTACAACCAGAGGTCTGTGTGACCAGCTCCAAGCTGGCGACCATTGGGGGACAGAGGGATTCAGTGGCTTGACAAAAGTCTGCAGCTGATGGCAAAGGTAGGCTTAGAACCGCGGCCTCTGACTCCAGTGTCTGTGTGCTTAGCTGCTAAGGCAAGCTGGCTTGACAGCAGCTGTGCTCACGTCACACCAGGTGTAGGCTGACCTGACCCTCTTTGCCTTCATTGTTCTGAATGCCTTTTATTCAGTCTTGAGGTTTTAAAACTTGTCCTTTCTAGTCCCATGGTTTTGAGGGATGCTGTCCACCTCAGGTGATTCCAGGAGGTAGGGTTGTGTCACTAAAACCAGATCACCCAGAGACCCTCTGAGGACCAGGGCATCGGCCAGCTGAGCGTGCAGGTCACTTCCCCGTCTGACTTTCCACGAGGAGGGCTCATTCCTAGAGTGTGTGACTCCTTCTTGAGAGAAGCTCTTGATTTTAACTCTCCTCTGTGAGGCTGATGGCTTCTATGACTTCAGGGCAGTCACCCTGACTGCTGGGATGAGTTCCTTCCCTAAAGGACAAGGACCAGCTGCTTTTTTAAAAGCAAAGAATTGCTGCATTAAAGCAAACTGTTAACATGTACACACAAATGGTGAAGCTTAAATATTGAAGTCATAGCAAACAAATGGCAATTCAATATCCAGGGTTGGTGGACAGAATGCTTGAGACGGGGTAGCACCAGATCAGACTCCCATGGCGGACAGGGCGTCTTCAGAGGTGAGGGGCCCTGGGACGGGCTGCTGGTGGTGATTAACTCCCTAATGAGGAAAACGGACTTTTGAAGGAGGAGCATGCGCAGACCCTTGGTGGGGGATGATGTGAGTGACATTATGAGGACACGCCTCCCAACTGGACGGGTCTGGCAGCACTGAGGGTAAAGAGCAGAGGATACTCCGAGATAGGTCATGAGAGGCTGAGGGAAAGAGACAGAATTAGAGGAACTGGTTCTTTACATCTTTCTCTCCCGCCTCCCACCACTGGTCCAGCTTTCGCCACGGTTACGCAGCCTTAGCTTTCATCTTGTTCTTTAATGCGCCCATGCTGTGTATGTAAGTGCTTAGACATTATCACTGTTGTTGTCTGAGCACCACCGGACCATTTCTATTCAGTTCCTGTAAATATGAGCCCATACCATCTCCTCCCACTTCAACTCTCACACACACACACACACACGCACACACACACACACACACACCCGTGAAAACCTCAGAGCCTTTTGCTGCACCCTGGGGATTGCTTTGTCTTTGAGAGACCAAAGAGAAAAACCCATCAGCTGTCAAAGATTTTAATTATTTATTTTTAATTACATAAGCAATGCATGAATATGTCTGGTTGTAAAAAATTCACACAATCCATATAAAATTAAAGTCTCCTCCAAGTGACGAATTTTAAATAGTTCTGGTCCTTACCTGTCAGACCATAGGTCTGCGTGGAACAGTTCCGGGGGATGTGGGTGAACCGGGCAGGGGTTTAAGGCAGCTGGAGCCTTCGTTATACAGGGAAGGGTAGGGAAGATGGGGTCACTTGTTAATGAAACAGGGGTGGTCTCTAGTTGAACCTATCCTTTCTGTTTAGAAGCTGTGGACTTTGCCAGGAATGTGTTCTTAGAGTTTCGCAGTTTTCTTTTCAAGGAGTGAGGAAGAGGGGACATGGGCTCCTGCACCTCTGTAGAGATTCACCCTTTTCTCTAACATGTGCTGCTTTAAGGCAACCAGCATCAGAGGCAAATGTTTGGCACCCTGGCCCACTGGCTTCTCTCCAGAGGGCCACCTTCCCGGTTCAGGCAGAAGAAAGAGAGTCATCCTCACACATCCCCTGTCCCATGTGACTTAGTGAAGGAATTTCTCAATATTGGTTCACACCCTCCTTGAGTTTAAGGGACCTGGACATGCTTGGCCATAGCAAGCAGGAAGACTTTTGTCAAATATATCTCTTCTCATCAACATTTTATCAGTGGGTATTTCCCTATGACTCAATAAAACCCTGTACACATTGGCTGCAGAACCAAATGGAGATGAGTAAAGGATTTAGGAGGAGGGATAAGAAATGCATTGAATCCAAGAGAGACTGAAGTGGAAAGGATCTTAGAGACAATCAACTGAGTTCCTCACTTTACAGGTGAAGACATCGAAGACCAGAGAAACTTGGTCTAATGCTTCAAGTCCCATAGGCAGGGTTAGAAGCAGAGGGAGAGCCAGGATTCCCAGTTCCAGACTCAAGACAGTGCTTTGTCCCTTACCCCAGATTTGGAATTCAAGCTGCCACTGAGATTTACCCACAGGACCTGGGCAGGTGACAACAATTCTTGGTCCCAGTTGCCTCATGGCTCCTATCTACCTTAGAGTAGCACTGCTAAGAGCATCACATGAAATAATGACTGTTAAGAGCCATGCAAATCGCCAAGCAATTTTCAGGTACAAAGAGTGAACTGCATTTCAGTCATTGGCAAGACGAACATTCTTAATTAGTCAGTCAACGATCATCACCTAGCGGAATAAACATTTTTGGAAATCTGGCCAGCAAGGTTTGCTTTTTAGTTTTGTTCTGTGTTTTGAAGTTCCCTAGAAACTTGGTTATAGACTGCGTGTTGTATGATCTTAGGAAGTTATTTTTAATTCAGTTAGGTGTGATCACGGTGTCGTGGTTATGCCCAGGATGCCATTAATTTCGGGGACTTTTTGATGAAGTGTTTCTGGGTTATTGTTTAGGTGTTCGTATCACGTCTGTAATTTACTTTTTAATGGTTCAGCAATTACAGATGCATGCTTGTGTGTGTGCACACATATATGGCAAAATGTTAATTTTTGAATCTTGGTGGGAGGTATCTTATACGCCTGGCTGTTGAGTAGACTATCACCCTAACTTCCTGTGTGTTTAAAAATGTTTATAGTAAAATGACTAGTAAAACAAGTTTTCCAGGTGATCCTGATTCTCTCTAATGGTTTGAGCCCACTGACGTGGAGCTGTGAGCCACTGACCAATGACAATGTGTGAGTGAAAAAATCTTTTAAATTCCCTGCTTGGTGTCTTGTCAGAATTGGAATCACTTTTCCTCAGCAGTACCGGTGAGGTTCTATTTCCCGTTGCTCTGTTTTGCTTGTCTGAGTCATCTATAAGACCAAAGTATTGAAATAATAAACCATCTTCAACATTTCCAGGAAGACCTAAGAGGTGATACTGACTCAATTTGAAGATAGTGACTAGTCCAGTGATTCCCAAACTCAGGTGCCTAGAAACATCACCCACAGAATTTCAGCAGGCTTAGGACAAGACACAGGCATCTGATTTAACAGATATAATTCTAATGTACATCAGAGGTAATTCTAATGCACATCTAGGTTTGAGACCCATATTTTAGACCACAATGACCACAAAGCCAAGGTCATAGGTTTGATTCCCAACTGAAGAGCTATTTAACTTTGCAGAAAGAAAAGTTCTGTTCCTTAAAGATATCCTGCACACCTTACTCTGTTCTGTCATTTTAAAATAGGGGTCCTGGTGGAAAAAAAATGAAAACAGGGAACCAGGACAAAGAAGGTGAATGGATCAGAGCAATTTACTATTGCAAACCCATATACGATTTTTTTTCCCTTCTCGTGAAAACCTGCTACATTCTATTGTAGAGGTGACTGCATTTTGTTGATGGGTGAAAAGAGGCCTTTGTTCGTCATTCTCTGACTGCCAAGTGTATTCCTACCTCAGGAATTTTGGATGAAAAGGTAAAAATGTCTTGTTAGTCTCAGTGAATTATGATCCGAATGAATCATGCTTTTAATGAAAAACACTTGATGCACACTTACCCGGAATGCCTGAAAGGAGAAACTGAACCTTGGGAAACAGAAAAGTGAACACTCCCCCCTCCCCCAACTACCTTTATTACGAACATGTTCTGGGACTTCCTACACCCCCATAAAGGAAGCCAGGAGCTGCCCTTTGGTGCCGCCCTGGTTTCTTGCAGCAAGAACCAGCAGCGCCCTTCATCAACACACCACAAAGCAGCTTCCCGTGTTCTTATGTAATACGTCTCTGCAGCTTAAACCTTGAATTAACTAGAGACGTCATCAAGAAAAGTTTGCCAAGGAAGAGGATGCCCGGTTTAATTAAAAAGATCTTTAATAGTTATTAAGGAAATCAATTTGGAATTCAGGCCTGAGAGCAGTGTTGAGGGAAGAAATCACTGAGAGGAACTTCGCCATCTCTCTGGGTAATGGATTTTAACCCTTTGATCTGCATTGCTTCAAATCCCTGGGACGGTGGTGCAGGGGGATGGGGACGGATGCTTATTTATCACTCATCACTTTTGAATCTACCTTCCAGATCCCAGAGGCAGGTCTGCCTTACATACAAAAAGCCCAAACTTTCTGGAATGCAGTTATCCTGGCAATCAAAGGAAATGGAAAACCATTATAAATTGAAAATCTGCTACCTCATAAGTATGAGCTATTTCTTTTCCCAAGAGATGCATTATTTCTCCCAGAGGATTTGTGCTTGGCCTGTGCGTCAGGTGTCTTTTTCTATTACCGCGCAAACCCTCCTTCTTCGGATCAAGCCAGAAAAAAGGAATTTGGCTCTTTGGAGCACAAGAGAAATATTATTTTCAGTTGTCTCAGGAAAATGATGACACCAAGGGTGAAACAGCCAGAGGATGGGCAAAATAAATTGCCTATGGTGTAGAGGGGACTGCAAAAGGGAAAGAATTTTTATTTGAAAAGAACAACATTCTGCCAGCAGGGGGATGATTTTAATATCATCTTCTGATGCAGCCCAGCTGAGTTCAAATGCTAAAAGAACTTTTCAAATAATCTCTGTTTAATTAATATTTGTACAGCACTTAATGAGGGAAACTGAAGACAGGTGAGCAGTATGGCTACAAAAACGACTTTCCTGTTGCAATGTAGCTCGTTCTTAGGTGGACTGAAGCGCCTCTACCTGGACTCCTATCATTACTCAATGGAAACTCAACAGAAAGGATGAACCAGATCTTGGGCGCTCAACCTGCATCCTAATCACCAGCTTACACTTTCTTGAAGAGTTGGGAACAGGCTTGTATTTATTTATATTACTCAAAGCAAATTGCCCAGAATCTGTGCCTACAATGTCTCTGTTGATTGCTGATTACCTGGAAACTTATGGGCGTGTTAGCCCCCAAAATGTCTCCGTTCCCTGTTTCACTTGGTCTATTGAACCTAGTGAGGGGTGTCACTTGGGAGAATTGGGGGTTCGGGGTAGATGCGTTATAACGCAAGCTCTACTGATGAACTTGTTGTGTTGCTGGAAATAGATCAGGTAGCTTCTCTGAGCTCTACTTGCCTCAATTACAAAATAAGAAGCATTGAACTAGATGGTCTCCAAGGCCCCTTCTGACTCTAATAGAGTCTGCTCCACTATTTCCCCTTTGTCTTGGCTGGGTGTATCTGTTCTAAGTTAGTAGACTGATGGTAAACAGGAAATAGTGCTTATTGAAGCATTTGTGGCTGAAGTACCGGTTGTAAACTGGCGAGCAGGAGGCTGGATCCAGACTGCAGACCTGTTTAGTTTAGCCCACCTAGTTTTTCGGAGAGGGGGTGGGAATTGAATTAGTTAACAACAGTTAAAATCCAGGCGATATCACGAAGTTGGACTTGTGTTTCTTTTGAGAAGTTGGAAAACTCTGGTACCGCTTCATCTTCATTGGCAATGATCTGCTTCCTTGTGAGTCCGACATGGACCCAGCCCCTTCCCGCTGTGTCCTCAGCAAGAAGGTTGAATGTCAGTTTCATTGTTTTCATTGATCTCATACCGTTTCACTCATTCATGGCCCACGGAGTTACGGTGGGTAGAGGAAGAGAGGGTTGGAGGGATAATTAAGAGTCTGATGTCAGGAACCTCCTGACCTTTGAAGAGACATCTGTGCCAGGAGCCTGGCTGCTTCCTGAGATGTGTGAGCTGCTAGGTGGATAAAGTTCCTTCAGTTGGGTGGATAGAATCAGACAACCTTTGACTGATACGGGCAACACAATGATTTCCCATTT